TTTCTATTTTAAATTCAGAAGACTAGAGCTTATACTTAGCCATACCTAAAGCATCGCTTCTTAACTGATTATTTATCAAAATCTGACTTCTATCCTTTTAATTCTCTTTCAAAACAATATCCACACAATCGAAAAAGAGAAGAAATCTTTCTTATACTTTTTATCGTACAAAGGATCAATGCCAACTTTTTTTGAAGATTCTTGTCTTTATACATGATTAAGCATTTTTTAACAATAATCTGCAATAAAAGCATGCCTCATAGGGTGCATACCACACTCCTAAAACTGCCAGAAAGTGACACCAATTGCAACATCATGATCCTCACGGGACATTTATAATGGGAAATAATACATAATCCAATGGTGCGCATCTGTATGAGGCCCCCGAAACCCAACATCACACACAAACTCACACCTCCTAAATTGACCAAAATGCAGAGCAAACACTCTGCCTCATTAAGAAACATCACCACGGTAATGACACGCACTATTTGACTCTCAATCCTTGGCGCCAATTACGGCCATTTGGGGTCTAGGCCGAGCTCAGCGGTTGCTGGTTAGCAACACTCTGAAATTGAATTTCTCGAGGGGGTGCTCTCCTGGTGTTTGAATTATGCAAGAAGCTGTCATATGACGGTGTCTTTATGATCTCTGGTACGAAGCCCCCTGGGAGAATCTTATTTTATTCTCTTTCTTCAGGCTTCATCGTTGTCAACTTTAGAAACTTCAATGCAAGGTGTGAATCGTCTCTACCATGAAAGTGTGACTAAAGAGTTGTAGTCGAGCGATAGATTGTTCTAGTTTTTAGTCCATTCAAATGCAAGGTGTGAGTTGTCTCAACCATGAAGCTTTAACTACTCCACTGAACTGGGACAGTAGAGTTTTTATCAATCAACCCATTGCATGCTATTTAATTTAGGTATAAAACATATTTTCCATGGACTTTGTCCCAATTTGTCTTGGACTTTGTATTCATAAGGATTGATATAAGATGACCTACAAGGAAGCCTATGCATTTTCCCATAAAACCAGCACCTGTAGTGGATGAAGTTTCTCCATTAAAACATTGTGAAATCACTATGATTTATTAACATTGACGACAATTTATAAACCTAACAGTTCCATTGGAGATATCTCTTCAACTTTACAAATCCTTTTTTTTTTAAATTTGAAACTTATACTGTTATAGAAATTATCACACCAATGCAGATTATTCTTGTCAACAAAGATAGTTCTCATAACGTACAAAGTGAATAATTCTCTTATAAAACCACAAAAATTTCCTCAAATGATGCAATACATCTTTTGAGTTTTGCAGTCTAAACTAAACCATTTAGACATAATAGCTACAATTTTAAAAATCTCTAGTTCTGAGTAGTGTATAAGTATATAAAAAAAAACAACAACAACAAAACTCTCCTTCTCCTTCAATCTTAAGTACATAAGGAAGGTCGGAGCTCTTACTCTCAAGACTTATGCATAACACATTCCAATTTATCCTGACTATTGGGGACAGATGAAGAAGTGGAATCAATAGAATTAGCCACCCTTGGATACCCAAACGAGGTCCATGGGCTGACCAAGGGTCAATAATGAGCTGTCCATCATCAAATTGTTGACCCTTAAGGCCTGTTCAGATATGCAGCAGCAGCAAACCCATGCACCCTACCCTCCCCCCTTCCGCGTTTTAAAAATATTTTACGGAAAGAATGGCAATTTTGGGTGCATAAAATATAACATCACAAGAACATCATGGGCAGCTTTTATCACAATCTTAAAATCTGACAATACATGTGTTTTGTTGATGATTTTCATGACCATATCAACTGGATAGTTATGGTAGTTTAAGTTAATGGGTAACAAGCGTATTTTAACTAAATTTGACGCGTACAGCCACCTCATTACCGTCTATGGTTGTGAGGATGTGAGGGTCAGCTACACTGGATTTTTCTTGAACCTTATCCTTCTAAGATGCCGGCACTGCATATTTTTGTCTTTCCCCCAATAATTTTATTGATTAAAAGATTGTTTAACCTTGTTCCTTTCTTTTTCCTGTGGTCTGAATTTAAATCTTTTATGTCTATTTACCCCTCTCCCCTTGAAAAAAAAAAATGTCATGCTGGGTACATTTCACAAACCTATAATCAGATTCTGTTTGTATCGTTAAAAAATTAATTTGAATGAAAAAATATTAAATTGTTTAAAACATAATTTTCAAACTAGCAAGTAAATTACACATGAAAACATTATTCCATGAACTTTAATGTATATTTCTGTGGAATGTATTTAAGTACCTCAAAGCAAAATTTAATAGAGTTAACACAGACAAATCTTGATAAATGTAGTTCTTCACCAAATGTCTGATATGGTATCATTATTTACTCTTGTCAGGAACAATACAAGTCATTTTATACCTCAAATATACCAGACTTTTTGAATAAGTCTTTATGATGGTAATGACCTTTCGGCTTGATATCAGACCCAAGCCCTTTGCCTCCATTCCAAATGTCGTTATGGAATTATGACCCAGTAAATCGCATTTTCATGCCAATTACATTCCATTTTCCAATATAGGACAAGCCCTAGATGACATTTGTCAGAATTAAATGGAGGGTTAGTTGGCCATCAATGTCGGTAGATTACATATCTAAAGTGGGAACTGTTTATATTACTGAGCAAATCAATATATATCACAGTTTGATGTCTGTTTCTTTCTAGCAGAAACATGCTCGTAGAGAGTAAGGGTAGGTTATAAATCTTCATCTATAACTTCATCTGTTTCATTTGAAACACAAATGCACAAGTGCGGGCCAGCTAAGGAGCAAAATATGAAGAGGCGAGGACAGGGGGAGGGAGAGGAAAAGAGAGAGAAAGGGAGAGAGAGAGAGAGAGCGAGATGGAATATGTAGAAGACCAAAGCAAAGAGAGATGACAGAAAAAGCAGAGGGTTATTCATAAACAGACGAAGAGTGCAAGAGTAAGAAAAGAAAATAGTGAAAATAAAGTGACAATGTTGTTATTATTAAATAAGATAAGAACAAAAGGAAAGATAGTGTGAGCTGCATGGAGAGAAAAAGACAAGAGAGGAAAAAGAGTGAGAGATAGAGAGAGTGAGAGAGAAAGAGAGAGAGAGAGAGAAAGAGTGAGGATGAGAGAGAGAGAGAGAGAGAGAGAGATAGAGCCAGAGGGGTACAGATAAAGAAAGATATATATATATATATGTAATATATAAAGACAAGATAGGAAAAAGAGCGAGAGATAGAGAGATAGAGAGAGAGAGAGAGAGAGAGAGAGAGAAAGAGAGAGAGAGTGAGAGAGAGAGAGAGAGAGAGAGAGAGAGAGAGAGAGAGAGAGAGTATGTGCATCAGGGAGTTCAGCCGTGGTAACAAATGTATAATATATATGTAAGATTAATCTTATCAGGGGAATGAAATTATTCCCAATGGACTATTTATCTTCATTATGTCATTAAATCAAGCATTTTCTTGCCTTACTTCAATAAATTGATTTATTGGATAATTTTATTAGAGAAAAAGAATCTATCCACCATGCGCTCTCTACCTCATGGAAGGGGGATTAACCTATTCAGATTTTCAGGAAAAACAAATTAGAATGTATTCCTACTTGAAAACCAAATTATCTTGTAGGGCATCAAATTTACGGTGAGTTTCCTGTTTCATTCATTTAATGTCATAATATTTTAAGTTCTTTTTTATTCAAGCAAAGAAAAAAATTGGAAATCTAACCCATGAAGCACCCGCATATTTCAAGATTCAAGATTCAAGATTATTTTATTGGTCCATGCATGCAAACATTACATAGAAATTTTGCTTCCAATGGCTTTATACAAGATTTGTCTGTTACACATCGTGAGTTTAATAATATGAAACTAAATAGTAAAAATATACTTAATTATGGTCGCATAAACAACAACAAAAAGTCTTTATATTATATTTTCTGTGATTCAGATGAATGGATTACGTCGTTAGAAAATTTGACAGATCGCATTGATTATTTTATGTCTAAAAAGTTAATCCTAAAAGAAGATTTAGATTCAGATGATGAAGAACTGTAAGTGGTATATATTACAAAAATAAACAAATAAATACATATTATAATAGTAAAAAATAGTTTTAACTTAATAATTAAATTAATATGTGATATACATTCCAACAAGAAAAAAATAAGGATTATAAATGTTTAAAAAAAAAAAAAAAAAAAAGTTTCTGTGAATAAGATAAATACATAAATTCCAGAGAAGAAAAAATTTGTAATCACTCAAATTAATGATCAACCCATTAAATAATGAAGTATAATGGAATGGTCCATATAGGCCTACATCTTTATAAAATGAAAACTGAATCCGAGAACCGGTGTAAACAATGCCACAAGAAGATGTAACAATCTTTTATGACTTTGGGAGAAAAAGAAAGAGAGAAAGAGAGAGAGAGAGAGAGAGAGAGAAAGAGAGAGAGAGAGAGAAAGAGAAAGAGAAAGAGAAAGAGAGAGAGAGAGAGAGAGAGAGAGAGAGAGATGTACCATAGAGACAATAAAACATCCCAACATCATCATCATCGTCTATTGAGAGCCAGAAGGGCATTAGCGCCTATACTTTCACAAAGATTTAACGCCTTTTCGACTCTTAACAGATGATTTGATAAAAGGCTGTCAGTTTAGAGCCAGAAGGTTGTTTAAGCTACATCAAAGTTGCTCATGCGTTGGTATATAGAGGGCAGCACACTGAGCCAACAGGTATAACGCTCCCGTGCGTACTAGTGTCCCTTTATGCATACGTCTGTACGGAATACCAGTTGGCTCAGTGTTCACCAAGTTGCCTACTTCACAAACGACTATATACCCACGCATGACCATCTTTAAATGATATGAGTTAACATCCTTCTACCGTCAAACAGATGATTTGACTTGTTTGAAATTGTTAAAACCAATCTTTCATGGTGGTTATTTTGCAATAAATGACATAAGAAGCCGGTAAAACGTACCTTAACAGCAAATACTTTGATGCTCCCTTGGTAGGCATCTGATCGTATGGCACTGAAGTATAATCCCACGCCACCAGCAAACAATAACTGTAGAGGAGACACAATGGAAAAAATGAAATATTATACTTTCAGTTTGAATGACAGAACAGATTACATTAACATAACAATGAGATGACAAAATATATGTTTATGAATACATACTGATATTGTTACCATATTATAAAATGCAAGGAGAGAAAGTAACCGATGTAACAAGCTATTCCATGCAATAGAACAAACCTACTGGATGTACAGAGCATCTAAAAAAAGTTCAGTTGGGAATAGTCTCCTCAAATTTTTTCAGGATATTTTCATACCTGTGGATACTTTATGGATCTCTTCTGTCAAATACACATACAAATCTGACAACATTTTATGCTTGAGTGACTAAAGCCATTTTTGAAAAAGGATGCAAATTAGACTTGACAATAGTTGAAAAGATATTTCCCAAGTGTGTAGGCCTACATTTTTGTTGATATGCAATGTATAGTATTCAAGGTTAGTGCATATTATCTATGAAACATGAGGTTATTTCCTATATTTCTATTTAAAAAACACAGAATATAACTGATAGGCACTCAGAGTGCACAAAACATAAAGCAGCTTTGTATAAAGTAGCTGAGTCATGTTTTGAGAATACAAACAATGGAATTATACTTATTTTCTTCTTGTAAGTACATGAAATAACTGATGACCGCATATAGAACATCATCATTTTTTCTCAACACTAGTCACCTATGACTATATGACTACGAATCTCCAGACTAAGTTCTGTCAACTGGAGATGCTGCTTTCTGTGAAATACACCATTTTATTCAAGGTCATGACACAGGTAAAAAACTAGGAGTAAGTACTGAGTAATATGGAGCCTATAAATTAATCAATACTATTGAAATTGTGACCAGAGCGTTGCCATGGTAGTAGACTCGTATCTTTGCATGGAATATTGATCTGTAGGCTTACAGTGGTTCTGTCTAACAATTCAGTGTTCTATGAGTAAACATTTCTCACTTTTTCTCTTTATAAAAGAAGAAAAAAAAAAACAATTTAGAGTGAGAAGAAGTAGTAGTAGTAATAGTAGTAGTAGTAGTAGTATAGTAGTAGTAGTAGTAGTAGTATAGAAGTAGTAGTAGTAGTAGTAGTAGTAGTAGTAGTAGTAGTAGTAGTACAAGATGAAGAAAAAGATGAAGAAGATATAATACAGTTTAGAGAGAGGATGTATGGTATCAACAATTTACACTTCTACTCTGTTACGTACTACTCCATTTTAGAAGCAACATGGTTGACCCGGTATGACTTATGATAGTGTGGTTTTTATTGTTAATCTTGTCTAATAAATAGAATTGTGTTTTTTGCAAATAGTGTGTAAATTGGCCAGGACATTATGAAAATATAAACAAAATGGGCCCATTCCCTGAACAATGAAACATAAATTGTTTTCATGAACAAAGCTATCTGGTGGTGTACAGACTGCTTGATTAATACTTCTATACTTTCTTAAGATGGCAATTCAAGCTTAATAAAACAAAAAAGTAATGCCTGTTTTGGTCAAGATCCAACATTGTGACATTAGTTGAATGAAAAGGTAACCCTACTAAAGTGGGGATTGCATACCATAGCCACACTGAATGACAATAATCTCTTATTATTTCAATTTTTGTAAGAGATGTTTTCATCTTGAACCTCGCAAGCCTCGTCATTTGGTGGAAGTCATGCCCACGCACGATTTCAGACCGTTGTTCGACATTACAAGTCGGTGTGCAGACGGATTCTGGGCTTGGCATGGCACGATTCCTTGTCTTTTCACGAACAGACAAACAAAGACGCAAGACGAAGCCTGAAATCAGTTCTGTGAAACAATATTTGCACAGACAAGAGTAAAGCTACTGAGTGAGTGACAAGAACGAGGGAGGAGACACATAGAGAGAGAAATGGGAAGAGAGAGAGACAGAAAGAGAGAGAGAGAGAGAGATGGGAAGAGAGAGGAGAGTAAGGAGGGATGGTAAGAGAGAGAGAGAGAGAGAGATGGGAAGAGAGAGAGAGAGAGAGAGAGAGAGAGATGGGAAGAGAGAGGAGAGTAAGGAGGGATGGTAAGAGAGAGAGAGAGAGAGAGAGAGAGAGAGAGAGAGAGTCCAGTAAAGATTAAGAGAACACAAGGAAATGGCAACGGAGGAAAGATTGGGAGAAACGGTGAGAGCAAAGGTGACAGACCCAGAAAAAATAAGAGAGTAAGGAGAGAGAGAGAGACACACACACACACACACACACACACACACACAGGGGGGGGGCAGAGAAAGTGAGAGAGAGAGAGAGAGAGAGAGAGAGTGAGAGAGAGAGAGAGAGGGGGGGGGGGGGGGTGAATGAATGAGAGAGAGCCCAAGAGGGGAAGAGAGTATGAGAGGTGCTAGGACATAATATAAATGTAATGAGATGAGAGATATGATGTAGTTAATCATGAAAAGAAAACAGGAGTACGTCAACAAAAAATTGTAGCAGATTTTGTAGCAGATTTGTAGCAGATCAACCCGTTGCCCATGGGAAACGAGTGGTCCATGTATTACACCTATGGGTAAGAGATAATTCAGTAGTCAATGGGTCACATGAGCAGAGGTAATGAAGAATTGTTTGCCTAGCATCTAAAAAGTGACAAGAAGATAAATGAGGAATGGTCAATATAAACAATGCTTGGGAGGTCCTAACAGCTTTATTGTTTATATAATGTCATGAAATAAAATGAAAATAGATAGTACCTTTCTCTCCCATCTATATCTCTCCCTTTATCTCCTTCTCCCCTTTTACCTTTTAACTTCATCTCCCTCCATCTTCAACAGTACCTAATCTCTCCCCATTCTTTCTCTCTGACTCTCTCCCTTCTATTTCTTTCTCTTTCATTCTCTGCCTCCTCTGTTTCTATCTCTCTCTCTCTCTTTCTCTCCCTCTTGATCTCTTAACATCTCTCTCCAAGGAAAATTATATTATATAATTACTTATCTATCTATCAAACGTGAAATGAATCAATTCTGACTCCCAGTGGACATAATCATCAAAAGTACCTATATCATAATGTCTTCATCTCTTTTGCAAAGTTATCATTTCAACTTCGGCTGTCATTTCATCATGTCCCTCACGACGGATACATCTCCAACTAAAACACAGAAAAATAGCATCGAGTAAATTTTACATTATGGAAAAGAGGCACTTGAAAGAAATAGAGGATGCCTATATTCAATTCCCACTGCCCGAGACGAGACGAGACGAGACGAGAGAGAGAGAGAGAGAGAGAGAGAGAGAGAGAGAGAGAGAGAGAGAGAGAGAGAGAGAGAGAGAGAAAAGATATGAACAACTACCCATGTGGGAATTTAAATCAAACAAAAACAATGGAAAAGTGCATGTATTCAAGTAGAAGATTGAACTCAGATTGTGGAAAATAGAGAGGAATAAAGAGATAAAACCCCCAGGAAATATCTGTCAGAACAGAAAACTGGGCTAATTTTAATTAATTTGTCTAACCCCAGAGATGCCACGAGACAGGACTGGGCATGGGCACATTTAAATCTAGATTGCCATGAGCTACATATAAATCTTAACATGCCTGTCTACTGTGATGTCATTAATGTGTGGTGATGGGATGCTTTCAACAGGCCTCTTCCCACTGTCTCTAGATTAACCATTTTCTAACAATTTCCCTGACCACTTAGTGAGCAATTGGGAACAAAATATATTTTTGATAATATTTAAGGATATTTTGACAAGATGAAACTGATGACAATTTTCTGAACATGAAATACATAAGAATGCTTGCCCTCCTAGCAAATTGCAAAAATATAGTCTTGGGAGTCAGTGCTTTGCATTGATCACAATCTAGAACTTCTGTACTACTTGCAAACTTTGTGAATTTTTTATATATTTTACAGAACTGCATCCTTTGAAAAGCGCCAACATGATTATACACACATGGGACAACATGATTGCAGGTGGCCTAGACATGACACCACATGACTATTCAAACAAAAATGAAATCTTCATTTCAAGCATCTACTACTGATAATCCCCACCTTTCGACATTTGAGGAAAACTGTTGGATTTATAATCTGCTTCAATTCCTTGATTTCCCCCATTGTAACTAGAACTCACATCTAAATAAGTTAATCCTAAAATAATTTGCATTTTGAAAGCCACCGTTTAAGCTTCACAGAAAATGTTTTGGCAGTGGAAAGAAGCTCTTAATGACGACTGGCCCCAGGGCAGCTCATACATAGCATGGTTACCTCTGAAAAGGTTAATGAGCTATAGCTTCTAATGTAGCTAACGGGAATAAATAAGCAAGACCATTAGGCAGCTGCTGACGGCCCATTAGTCTATTATCTATTGTTACATGTTGCATTATATGATGGGGTATATGGCGAGACAGACGCTTCTGACTAAAAAGCATGGTGGGGTTGAATTACCACATAATGTGTTGTTGATTGCTAAGTCTCTGGTAATGAAATAAAAGGGGTAGATAATTATTTGGTTGTTTGATCTATTATCTATCTGATGTGATGAATCTTCATATAGGCAGTTAGTTAAGGGCCTGTTATGATCAGTTTGTAAAATGCCCTGAATTAAAAAAAAGTTTCATTAAAGCATTTAAGCACTAATGGTTTAAATGTATCAGATGATTACATGAAAAACACATCGTGAGTAAACTAACTTTATACAGATACCCCTTTACCCCTTTCCTCAGTGTATCACAAGAGTAGGGGTATCCCGCAAGTGTGTGTGTGTGTGTGGGGGGGGGTGAGGGGGTGTTATGAGATCAGGCCTATTCAAAGTTTTCTGTTGTTAAAAAAAGAAAAAAAAAAAAAAGAAAAAAAAAGACTCATACTTGTTTGCCATCTACAGTAGATCACATGAAGGCAATTGCAGGAATAAAAGTCCAACCAAGAATTCTTTACATGAACTATTGAATTTCTGTCAGTAAATCAGAATCTCTTTCTAACACTGGCATATAATATGGATTCTAAAAACTCTGGCCCTTGGACACAATTTGATTTTTTAGATAACACACATTTTCCACAAACTTAAGCCAGAGTGATCTTAGGCTTAATATTGAATAGTTTAAGATCTAACAAAGATCTTATCATGTCCTTGTAGAAATAAAAACCTTAAAAATAGTATCAAGTGAAAAGTATAAACGTTTTAAATGGGAAAGAATTAAGTAATTGACCTGTATATGAGATTAATCCTAACTTAACATCTACTTAAGATCGTATCGAGTTGAGAGCAAGAAGGGCATTAACTCATATATTTTGACCGAGTGTTAACGCCCTTCTGGCTCTCAATGGTCAAAGTAATTGCGAGAACAACATCCCTTGAAACTAATTCCTTCTGGAAAATATTGACCATGAAAATGCCTCAAATTCTCAAGAAAACCTTTTGCAACTAGATACATGCTCCTTTTTTGTTTTGCGGATAGGGTCAAAGATATGGCGTTAGGGTAAGTGTTGTAGCTGGGCTTTTCAGGTTAGGTTTGGAGTTAGATATGGTGTTTGGCCCAGTGTTGGAGTTAAACATTCAGTTAGATTGGGGGTTTTTTGGTGAAGAAAAAAAAAGGGTACGTACACTGTAATCACAACTGGAAGGCCTCAATCGATATTTAAAGGCCTTAATCGATATAACAAAATTTGGGCCAAAATTCTAAGTCTTGCACTTCTATTCTAGAGTCTATACCAACAACGCATGTATTACAAACTTTAACTGAGAACTCGTAAGGGTGTAAGATTGTAGACATGTTACATGTAGATGAGACTGAAACTAAAAAGGCTTGAAGGAAACCATGCTGAAACATGAGTTGGGTCTTGAAGCTGTGCAAACTTTCTCCGGTGCTGGGTTTCCTTCCTTAGAGATCAAGATTCTCTTTCATCTAACATTACCAGGGGAGGAGTCCCCAAACATGGCGGTGTTTGGAGATCAAAAGGGATCTGGCGTCACTCTGAAACATCTGCGGGGTTAGTAGTGCCGGGAACCTCAAACTCTTGTCAATTTAGCCACCTCTTGGAATCCCCTACCCTTAGCCGGTAATCGCTTGACGTAACACCCTCTCCGCTAGGACCAGACTCACACCGGCCGATGTGTAAATCAACACCTCCACTGGGGTGTGTTTGATGTTTGGAGCTGGGCCGAATGAAAACAAAACCTAGTGGGGTTAAAAGGTTGGAGTACGTGGAGGCAGGTTGAGGGGGGAGGGGGGGGGGGGGGGGGGAGCGGGAGGGGGGGGGGGGGGGAGGAGGGGGAGGGGGGGGGAGGAGGGAGATTGAGGGAGGTTGAGGACAGTTAAAGCAGTTCCCGGTAATACATGGTAATACTTGCTTTCCATTTGCATTTAACCCAAAGAACTTTAAAACCATATAACTGTGGTGAAGTGGTGGTTATTTTTCTAGCGGTGAACTTGATACATCAAACATGCATTCCAATGAAGCCAGATTGCCTGCTACCTAAACATTTATGCTTAGTCGAATCGATAATCTACACATTTGACTGGAATCTGATGTAACCTATAGCAATCCAATCATGTATTTGCAATTTTAAGGAGCACAATGAATTTTCATGGCCAACCAACTTTAAATTGGTTTTTCTAGCAAAGTTCTAGTCAGAGTCCTCTTGTCAGAGTTAAAATTCATGAAGAGGTGACTTAATGCCAGAGGTAGAGGTCATGTGTCCGTCTTGTCATTCTTTTTTATATTACTAAATCATTCTTGTGCCCCATCTCATGGATTCAAATCGATTGCAAATTGACATCAATCTTAAAGAGATAGGAATTGTGAGTTTGTGAATAATTGGAGAACTTTTGATCGACTCGATCCAGATCAATCGCAACTCATGATAACTCAAGGCCCAGAAGGTTCACCCCATGTCTTCAGTAAATTTTCTAAAATATTCTAAAGAAGAACAGAGATACAGCGGGCAAATCATATGACATCTTTGCAAATAAGATAATATAAGATTTTCTTTTTTTTCCACAAGAAGATACGTCTTTTATGATACGATTTTTGTCCAATCCGTGTCTCTGTGTCCCAATAATCTTGGGTTCAAACTTTCAATGACTATTCTAAGTTGGATGATATCTTGATAACGTGATAAACATATCTGACTGCCTCAGTCCATCTAGAACTGGTCAGATGATATCTTCTTTCGACAGATTAACTAAGTGATTTACATAAGATTTTCAGAAAATTTGGGAAAAGATATTAATCCAGATTCACATTCCATTTTCAAACTACTTCTATTTTTAAAATAAAATGGTAGAAGGCTAATGACTGTTTTTCCTCAATTAATGTACAACCTGAAGAGGTCCAAATCTAACCCATGTATACTAATCGTGTTTATCACAAAACCACAAAAAGTGCCAAAATTTTGGTTGTTAATGCTATCATTATCAATGTGCATCACACAAGAGGAAAGTTCATATTGTAACCTCTTTCATATGTGAACAGATGATACCAAGTAGAGCTTTTTCAGAAGACACTGGCAAATGTTCTACACAAATAAATAGCAAGACTCAATATACATGCACAATGTCACTTTCGAACTTAACTTAGACCAAGTTTAACTCCAGCTTTGGGTTCAACGTTCTACAGAATACAAGCCAGTGAGTTCTTGATAGTGTGAACATGCCTCCATCAAGGTACTGTTCACCTCACTTTTCTCACCTGTGTGAACCTAGTAACCTCATGAACATTGGATCACATCTACAACTGTGAGGTGTTGAGTTGTGTCATGGCCCATTGCACATTAGCACACCTTTCCATCTCGTCATCAAAATTTGTGGGCATCTTTGTCGTCATGGGCAGTGGGCATCGCCAGCTAGCCAGCCACGGCTGATGCTGCCTGCCACTGCCACTGGGCATGCCGGCCAGACTGCCAGACTACATGGTATTTTCATACACCCTGGGGAGAAGGGCAGGAATTCCCAACATTGACGTTGTGCGCCCACCCGTGACATTATCCAGGGGAGCTAGGTGATGAAAACATGAGCAGGTCTTCTTCGTTCTAGAAGTATTGCTTTGGTGATCACTTTGTTCCCAGTAGCAGCCAGATATCTTATAGGCGATGCATTTGTTATTTTATTGTTTTTAACTTATTTGATATCAAATCTACCACATTTTTGCTGATTTTTTTTCTTCATCCTTGATACAGAGAAATCTGTACGCAAAGGACACTCATGGAAGACAAGAAAAGTGGTCTTTATAGGCAGGTGGTCTTCATTTACAGATTCCTTTAGTGCACATTTCAATGAGAGTGACTGGTCATAGGAAACAATGTGGTTTCAAGTCTTTAACTTATATTCCTGGACCCCGAGAATATAAATACTCTACTTCTAGTAAAAATTTGCATAATCTCTTTGAAATGAAGGCAATATATTAAAGGTCTATGCATAGTAGGATTGATATTTTTTTTGTTGAGATACAACCTGTAAATGATGTGAAATATAAGTTTCGAGAAAGAGCTTTGGCAAATTCAAACCCATATATTAAATTATATTAATAATCATAAAAATAAGGATGGACGAAATACAATCATGTTCTAAAACACTTGTTAGAGCAGTCTCCATATTCATGAATTAATTTTAGAAGCTATTCTATCTGTCATTTTCATTAAAATGAGAGGTGTGGCTGAATATATATCATCACCCTATATTCACTTTCTTTTTCAATTTCAAATATGTATCTTCATACCTTGCGTTAATTCAATTGAACTGCACAATGAACATCACATTTAATTGTTGGGGGAAAGACGAGACAGATATTATAATCGATATGTCTATTGGACAGACTTATATGAGGCAAACAAGACCTTGAGAAATATTGGCAGTATTCCCACAAAAATATGAAATGTGTAAAAGATCTCAAATGCAATTGGCAGATAATTTCTCCCGAGGCTATGTGGACGGAAGAAATCTCCCAACAATGAAAGGGGCTCGAGATTAAACAATGTGCAGGGATCCATGATATCCATTCTCATGTGTAGTGAATTGAATAAATAAATCATGTACCTGAATAAAAATGCAATTAAGATAATGCCCTTCATGTGATCAAATATTCCTCTTTTAAATTGATCCTCATATTACCGTGAGTTTTTGTGAACTGCTGAGGTAAGAAGAATAAGGGGAAGAGAGAGAGAGGGAAAGGGAGAGAGAGAGAGAGAGAGAGCGAGAGAGAGAGAAAGAGAGAGAGTGAGATGAAATCATTTTAATTTTAATCTAACAACATTATTGAGTATTGCCAATATTTACTGCATTTAAGGGATGTGTAATATGAGAGTATGGTAATACAGAAATAAGATTGGGAAAGTAATTAGAGGTTTTATTTTGTATACATCTAGAAACAACTCCAAAACAGAGGTAAATGTTTTAAAGTACCCCCACGACCCAATATAAAATTTAAAAAAAACCTAGTAAACAACATAAAAAAGTATAATATTGTACTCAAATATTAATTTTTTGTTCATCAGATTCCTGTCTTGACAAAATAAAGTTTGAAAAACATTTTCATGAATTATCATCAATATGTCAAGTTTGAATGCTTACTTCACCTGTGCTTCCAATGAAGCAATCCATCTGTTTGAACCTAATAATTCTTTACTAAAGTCCTTTGTCATAGCATGTATATGTACACACCACAGAAGACATAACATATTTAATTGCAGCTAATATAGCGTAATATGGGATTAAACCTAAGGAGCTCTTAAGATCTACAAGTGTCAATTTGTCATATTCTTTTCTTCCCTGCGCCTCACTCTGGCTAAGTTGAACTCCAGTTTAATAGATAACATCTTCTTAGAACCGCCATCGCTAGAGATTCACTTCTAAAAATAAACACATTCCACTCCTAGCAAGCTGGTGCACATTCAAGGCATATAGACGGAGGTATGTATTGTTGTTTACCTGGTATTTATTTCCTTCATCTTGACTCTATTGAACAAGCCATGCTGATGACGCAAGTCAAGTCAATGGGGAAAGCAATCTTGAATAGCGTGTTGACTAAAATTCTGACCTTGGCACTCTATCCCAATAAACGCCTTTACATTACAACTAGAATGATCAAACCTTCTTTTTTGTAATCACTTTTTACAATCTATGAATAGATGCAATATCCTTTAAAAATGCATAAAAATGAGGAGCATGCAATCTTTGATCAATTGCCCGAACTGAAAATAAATTTCACACTGAAGCATGAGGCACATGAAGATCGAATGCAGGTTTCTATGTTTTTTTCTTGTCTCTGTGAAATTGAAGAATGATAACTGGGGCACGTACAATTGACGTCTGTTTGAGTGGTATTTTTATTGCGGTTTTCTTCACAATAAAAGGTGGGCAATGAAAGTGAATGCATGCCGATTGTTTGTTGACATCACCGACCAGAAAATGTGATGATGGAAATCTTTAGATTACTTTGTTTTTTCCCCGTTTTTTTTGCTACAGAAGAGGAATTATCTTTGTGCTGTGGGTGGTAATGTCCAAATGAAAATAAAAATAATGGTAAATTTTTAAAAACACTTTTTTGGCTAGGTTATATAATTTTTTTTAAATTGCAGTGAGAAATTTACTCTTGTGAATATGCTTTCTGCCCAATTTAACAATGAAGCAAAGTATGAAATTTAAAGTTGGAATCTGGGCCTATATTCAATAAACTTCTTAAGCATGATATCTACAAACTTTTTTATCAAGAAAAGTCTTAGTAAAAATGGCTGAGGCAATTTTCTTAACCTAGACAAATTCTAAGACATTTTTGTTAGACTCAAGAAAAATTTCTAAGTTTATTGAATAGAGGCTCTGAAACTTAATCTATTTATTCCACGTTCCTCATCTTTTATCATAATTCTTGAATAAAAGATAATTTTTAACTAAAAAAAATAAAATAATAATGAATACATTTACATCATAGAAGTCCAAATACAGGGTAATTAAGAGTCTTTCTTGTTTTCAAGATTGCTTTTGTCAGTTAGCTATCACAAAACACTGGTCATCATTGTGGTCTAGATTCTCATTCTGTTATTATACAGGCTAGGCCAGTGCCCTTTAGAGCTAAGTTCATGCCTGACTGTGTATATTTTTAGAAGCTCTGTTTAGTTCCCAAATCACAGCACTAATGTCTGCTGTTTTCTTCAGTGCAATTTAATTTTGATAGACTACTGATTAGCCTTCTTAGGGATGACGAACTCAAATTATGAGCCCCCCAAAATGGAATAAATAATCCTTCATCATCATGCTAAAAATTAATCTATGGCATACAGAATGACAACATCATATGTACCGGTAGTATAAATTTCATAATTCAAATTTACATAAAATTACTCTAAATAAGGCTCACATAATAGAACACCAGAGAAGCAAACTCAGGGAAGGTGTAGTGAACTTTGAAAGTTATCATAACCTATAGTGAACTGATACGGTCTTGATAAAATCAGTGATGTGCTAAATTGGATAAAGTACCCAGCAATATCTTGCTATGCCTCAACCATTATGGCATCAAAAAGCAATACAATAAAAACTTAATGCAAGAAGCATCAGCTGGTACAGCATGGGTAATGGACATCAGAAGTACAGCGGCCCTATTTAACAGACAAATAACCCCATTAATGGACTAATTTTCCCAGGAGAAATACCCAATGGCAAATAAAGAGAAAAGTTCAACCTGTGCTGCTTAATTGAAAAATAATTGTGCCAGTTTCAATTTAGATTATTTTCAGATAAATGCCTCTATTAATTGGACAGTTACTGCTACATGAATGCCTATGACAGGTCAAGCATGATTAATTGAAGAAAAAAAAGAAATACAAAATTATGAAAAATTGCTGGAAACAAATTGAAATTTAGCGTTTGCCCCTTTCCTCAGTCCATACAAAATGGATGATTAGTTGATTGTTGGGTACATATCATATTCACTGAATTCACTGAAGTGCTGTCAGATCTTTTGATTTACCATTTTGTAATTATTTGTAAAAGGTAATTGAAGCAACCATGACTTGGAGAATGTCAAAGAAAAAAATAGATGTAAGAAAAGGGAAGTAAAAAACAGAGAAAGATAGACGAAAGGGAAGTAAAAAACAAACAAACAGAGAAAGATAGACAAATAGGGAAAAAGAGGACTTGTATCATCTAAACATTTTTTCCCATATATTTTGAAGCATGCACCATTACTGGGATGTCTTGTGACAAATTAATATGACAACTAGGCATAGCACTGACAGTATGGATATTTACTTAATCTCTGTCTGTCTTCAATTGAGATAATAAACAAGAAGTTTTGTCTGTGTGAATTAGTCATGCTAGAAGTGATTTTCAAAGTATACAAGATTTTCTACTGGCTAAAGAGAAATGATAGCTTCATCCCTTATATTCCTTTTTATCCTAATAAATTTCACATATCATTGTTCTTGATGAATAAACAGTCATTATTTTTTATTTAAAAAACATGTCCATAGAATCACATAACCCCTTTTACTGCACAAAGCAAATGACACAGATATGTTTGACAATTGTAAAACTGTCAATAATTTCCCCTGATGCATAACATATGTAGTCTCAATGGTGTTTTTTCAATATTACCCATGTACTCTCACACCTAAAATGCACTAGTTGATGAAGATGCACATGTATGTCGAGAGGTTTTCAAATAAATCATTACGCACATTTATTAGAAAAATCATTGCACTGCAATTATACGTTTTCACAAGACTCCTGAAGACTTCATATCAAAGCATCCTCTGCAAAAATAGTACTAACACAGTTTACAGAAAGGAGGGGGGGGGGAGGGACAAGAAAACTAATCCAACTATTTGAAGCCAGAATGGCTTGAACTATTTACACACAGAATAAACACCCTTCTGGCTGTGCATGAACAGACAA